CCCGCTTCCTAATAGTGCCACTCCCTAGTGACCAAGCATTCAAGTATATGAGTCTATTGTAGGGCCATTCCTATAGAAACTACAATATGTTCAGACTTTCCTCATTATGATTCCATCTTTTCTTTCATCCTTTCTATGCTCTACCCCCCCCCCACAATCCCCTCTGCTTTCCCTAATTTCTATGCAGATCTTATTTGGTAGGCCCTCAGGTAGCAGTCCTTAGTAGTAGTCTGTTGCCAGTCCCATGTCTGCAGTTGGCACAATGTTGAATAAAACAAAGTAGACAGCACAGACATATAGCTCATGCCTTTGGAGAACATCAAAAAGGAGCTACTGTACCTGTGATGCCAAAGGTCACCGGTGGGGAGGTATAGTAAACTTCTTTACAAATTAAGCCCTTCCCACATTCCATGGGCAAAAATACATGCTGGTTAAGTGGTCAGGAGAGACATCAAGAGCAGAAAACAGGCCATTTAGGGACATTTTATCTTGGGAAGAACCAGTAAAATATTTTCTGGTGGCATTAATATTCAGAACTGTCAGGAATGCTCACTCCATCACATACGTGCACTGCTAACCCAAGACCACTTATTCTGTTCCCCAAGGCTCAGAGCTGCTGATCAGCTCAGTCCTCAACTGGTGTTAACAGCTTTTACAGGAAGAAATTATAGCAAGTACTCAGGCCCCTTCTCTTCTTCTACTCTTATCTTGTCCAGCTCTGTATCTCTATCAACCCCGTCCTTAATGAGGTCGTTGGCTCTGCTCATATAGTGAGACGCTGTCCGTGGCAATACACTGCCTGCCTGCTGAGCTATGCTTGACAGGACTCTTCTCTTCAGCTGTGGGGAGAATTAGCCAGTTAGCAGAGGAGGAGCTGGATAGCTGGACAGTTTTCAATCACGGCTCCCGATCTGGATACTTTAACAGCAGCATGTGAGAACATGAGTGTTTTTACAGAACAATTTAACTCATCCTTACAAATGTCCTTGTAAAGGGTGACAATCAGTGTATGGTGACTCCCTCCATAGGGAAAAAATGGTTTTCATGTTATCTGCATATCATTTACATAACTGAAATCTGTCTTAGTTTTGCTCAGAAGTTGCCTGTCCATCATCATTATTCTAGTAAGTCACATGGTAACACTGATTTTAACTTTCTGTCTTTTATTATTTTGTTTTCCCCCCTCATGTACCTATGTAAGTATGTGTCAACAAATAAACAACAGCTACATATCTCAAAAAATGGTCATGGCTGGGATTTTTTTTAACTGTAGAAACACATGACAGGAACATATATAAAGAAGCATAGCAAATTGTAAGCCAGTTAGTTAAGTAAACCAGATGTGAAACTAGAATGATGGTGGGATTATGGCCACATGTCCAATGTAAGGAGAAGACCTTAGAAGCTGAAAGAAAGGACTTATCATATATGGAGGAGGTGGCTAGCTCCGTTTGTGTTCAGCAGCAGTAGATCCTATACCTGACCTCAGACAGAGATTGCTAAACTAGAGCCCTTTTAGAACACCCAGACACTAGGAAGATTTTTTCTTCCATTTTGAAACAATAGCTGAAAGAATTGATAAAAGTTACATTTTAGCAAGGAGGAAAGTGAACCCAGAAATGAGTGATACCACTGTAGAAGCAACAACAAGATAAAGAATTTGGATAATTAATAAACTGAAGTACTTAGCATAAATGGCTGCCTTTTGCAGTAGTTTGATTACTAAAAAAAATTTGTCACTATTGTTTTATGTTTAATTTTGAAATAAGGTCTCACTTTGTAGCCTAGGATGGCCTGAGACTATGTAACTCAGGCTGGCCTAGAACTCATGGCCATCCTTCTGTGTCTGGATCCCAAAGTTTGAGATGGAGGTACTACCCCAGTGTAACAGTGTTTTCTCAGTGTGTTGTCCAGCCACCTTGGCATGAGGCCAGTCTGTGAGATGCTTCTGATTGTAGGGAACTGCTTTCACTCCAGGTGGTTGATGCCAGTATCCATGTATAGCTGACAACAAAGTAGCTAACCTTGAGATCAAAGTTTCTGTTGAGCATTTACAATTACAGTCATTGTGATAATTTACATTGGTTGACACATTGATAAGATCTCAATACTTCTAGAAGGTAAGTTGTGGACACCCCTGTGAGGGACTATGTAGATTCAGTTAGCCTTTGGGAATGACTGTGAGGGATTGTCTAGATCAGGTTAAGTTAGGGAGAAAAACCCTCATTAACTGGACTGGGGTCTTGAAGTGAAGAAAACAGAAGGGATCTGAGCACCAGCATTCATTACTCTCTGAGATACATCTAAGGGGACAAGAGAAGGACAGTTACGATTTAAAAGTAATGCATTTGAGTGTCAAGTTGACAGTTGGCAGAGGGCAGGATTGTGATTGGTTAATATTGATTATCAACTTGAAGGGGTCTACACTCAACCAGGAGACAAACCTGCTTATGAAGGACTCTCTAGATTAGGTTACTTGAGGTAGGGAGACCCACATCAACCATCATACTCATGACTGTGGGTAAGGTGGGACCAGTTGACTTCAACTCCTTCTGTCATGACTGGCTGTTTTCTGTACGGATGAGTAGAAATCAACCCTCCCTCCCTCTCTCCCTCCCTCCCTCCCTCCCTTCCTTCCTTCCTCCCTTCCTTCCCTTCCTTTGATCAGGTATTTTGTCTCAGCACCAAGGACAATAACTAATACAGTCATAACACTTTGTGTTTTCAAAGAGGGTAGGTACATTTGAATGTTGGACTGTCTTCCCCATGTAGTTCAAGACTTCCTTCTGTTCCCAAAGGTAACCTCCGATCTCAGTCTCTTGCACTCAGGACACCTGCATCTTAGAAGGGAGGTGTTCTAATGAATGGTTACCAACTGCAAGGAAGAGTCATGGTACTCTTAAAACAAGCTATATTTCATTTTTTTTTTCCTGTGGAGAACTTCCCCCCCTTTTGTGCATGATGTGAGATACTTAGCTTTGGTTAAGATCATATATCTTCTCTTTATTTTAAAAATAAACACTTCTTTGGAGCACAAACGAAGTAATAACAGTAGCTGATTTTCTTGTCATGGGACCTTTGTTCCACTGCTCAGGGTTGGAGTAGGATGCGGAATTTCCCCTTTGCTATTTTAATTATATCAGAGCAATTAGACTATAACTCAGACTTCTGAAAACCCATTATAAAGATAAGGAATTCATTTTACTGTATTATGGTCCAAACTGTAAATGAGATTTAAGATTAACTGTCTAATAGGTTGGACTTTTAATTGAAACTTCCTTCCATTTTATATCTCCGTGATTCACCAGGAAGCTTGATTTAAAAGGTTTCAAAATCACCAATTCTTTAAAAATAAAGTTCTTTTTAGTGAAATTGAAGTCAAAGCTTTTTGTTCCTTTAAACTATCACTGTCTCACTTCTAACTAAGTGGGGTTGTGTGTGTTGTTGTTGATGGTTAAATAGAGAATAAAATAACAGCAGCATGGGGCAGCGGGGGAGAGAGCACCCTGAGAAGCCCCGTTCCTACTGTTCTTCCCATAACGTGGCAAACACAGAGCCAGTCCTGTGTTTTATTATCAGGTTATAAATCCCATGACGTAGATTTTTGATGAAAACAATAGCCCTCTCAGCTACCAAGAGTAGCTGGATATGTGCTAAAATGAGGTAGAAGGAACATGCCTGAGAACAGGCAGTGGAGGAGTGAGTTCATGGTTTGACAGAGGTGCATCAGGCTTGGACTGCAGGCCACAGAGAGTGTTCGGATGTGTGGGGATGAGTGTGGTGGTCCTGGGGCTAAAGGGAAGAGGTGAACAGGGCAGGAACTGGTGCTCTTTAAGTAAGCCAGTAGATATCAGAGGAGGAGCTTGCACACTCTGACTGAATACTACTTGTGGGAGTCAATGGAGAGCAAGCTCCGGGTGGCTTATTGGCTCATTTTCTTTTGCTCATTCAACATGTATTCATCTGGTGCTCACTTTGTATCCAGTGCTGGACTTTTCCAAATAGTTTAGTCAGGAACCCACAAGGACATGCATGGCTAGGGTGGGAAGGGGGTGGATGGGTTAGGAAAGCTGTGCTGGGTGTGACAAACCTCACAAGCTGGAGCTCACCAACTGTATGGAAGTGAGACCTCAGGAAAGAGCCAGTTTAGGGTGAAGGGATATGTGCACATCCATGTGTGTTTAGATGGTGCCAGGTAACTGGCAGTCAAGCAGGTACTTGACATGAGGAACTCTGTCATCTTGGTGGTAAAATGTGCAGCTCAATAAATCCCTAGTAATTCTTAAACTTGGGCTGAATGAACTCCACAGACATAGTCCCCAGCCCACTATCAACCTGGAAGTACCACAGGCCTCTAAAGATACTGTTGTCTTGATAGATGTGGGCATCTGAAAATACATCTTATAAGCAATTGCCAGACTTCCATGGTAATTCCAGAAGAGTAGAGTCATCAGGGCCCAACCTGTCTTCCAAGTTTGAAGTCTTAACTTCATGAAAACAAGCAGGGGAGGCATCTGCCCTGAGTTGGGGTGGCTGATTGCTCTACTAGTCAGTCATGCATAAACACACAGGTGTCTGCCATGCTGTGATCACTGATAGACACTGCCCCTCACAATGGATGGGCAGTCCAGATTTAATTCTGAGCAGAGGAAACTGATTTCGTTGGTGTTTTGAGATGATAAGAGGTCCAGGGAAGAAATGGAAGTAATTTAATGGCTTGTCTTTGACAGAAGACCTCCACTGCAGAGAAACAAACATGTGTTTCAGTTAAGGAAGGGTAATGCATTTTAAATGTGTGGATATTATTATTCATTGTCTTGGTTTTTTTTTTTTTTTTCTTTAAGGTAGAACTGAGCTAAACGCTACTCAGCATAAAAGGCTCGGTGTGGAACAAAGCATGCGGACTGTGACTAATTGGCTCGCACTGGGCTAATGAGAAGACAGAATGTCTCTAATCAGCAACAAAGCAAACAGTCACTAAGGGTCTCCTTCCCTCCTAGGACTTCCTTCGCCGGGCATCTGGCTGGCATTCTTGTTGGACTGATGTACACTCAGGGGCCTCTGAAGAAAATCATGGAGATATGTGCAGGTACAGGACAAAGCTCCTCTGGCCTGACAGCAGTTAGAAATTCCTCTTCGTGTTCATGCACACAGAGGCAGCCCCAAGACTCCCTGTGGCTCACTATAGAAATGCCCTGATGGACTGAGATTTCTCTTTTAGCCAAGATATATTAAGACAGCCATCACAGGTCCTCACCTTGTCCCCCCCAAAGAGAGTGTACACCCAAATTTCAATTCTGAGGTGTTCTTAAGGAGCAAATGCTGGTATAGACTTATACCCTCAGCACTAATGGATTCACAGAAAACTGCAGATTTCCTCAAAGCGTGAGTTTACAATAACATATTTTTCTATAAAATTCCTTGAATTAATAGATATGCCTGGCAAGGTTACAGAAGGAGACCAAGCCTATACTGGCGTACCAGTAATTTCAAGAATACAGAATGACCACTAGGTCCTTGGTGGGCAAGACATTATAGTCATGGGAAGCCAAGCCATGTAATTTATCTCTTGAGGTTTGGTCCCTGCTGTTTATTTTCTTTACTTTTTTTCCTTGCTTTTCCCTCCTCTAAATTGATGTTCAATGAAAATGTTTTATTTAGTAGCGAATGCATTTAGACCCTTTAATGTAAAATAGTGTACCGATTTTGACTTGTAAGGCAGCTGTTTTGCAAACACTTGTTTTATAGACCATGTGCATTCTAATATTTCATCTTTTATTCATAGGAAATCTTCTGAGACTGTTTTACCTTTTCTTGAACCATAAATAATTTGTTTTCACAGTTTGTGCCGATGACTGTTGTTCTTGAGACCCATATAATATTCATGGCATTTATTTGAAAGCTTTCGGGGCCCTGCTTTGCAGTCTTTATTGGCAGGCTGTTTTCACGTTGGGGTGATTTTTAGAAGCTACGCTGTATCCACACAGATTCCCGTTTCTGTGCATTCACCCATTACTGTAGCCAGTATGCACTTGGAGGAGGCAACAGGAGCCGCCTTCACTGACGGTGGCCACTCTGTCTCATTCTCGGCACGGTTGGACAGTGCCTCTCTGGTAATGAATACTACGGGGGAGAGTGCATCGTCTTGATCCACTTTTCTGTGTCTTAAGGTTTAGTGCTTCCTAAGGCTCTGCGGAGAAACTAAAAAATTTAGACACGTGATTGGTTTAATTTCCAAAAAGAATTTTCCCCATGATAATAACATTTATGCTTTTTTGAACCTTCTTTAAGACTATAGCTAGTTTTTTTGTGTGTGTGTGTGAAGACTAGCTTTTTTTTTTTTTTTAAGCAACACAAAAGAAAAGTTTGAAAAATGGTCTGCAAACCATTTTCTGAGGAAAGCAGAGAAAGGACAGGTAGTGAGCCTAGAATTGAAATGACACAGCAACTTGTAGAACATGGCCAAGAGTGCAGATCCCACTGGTTTGTTCTTCTTAAGAGAAGTGGTCGTCCTGGGACTGTGCCTGGGCCTCTTTCTGCCTGGTTTACCTGTGCCAGGGAAAACCCCTTAGGAAGGGGAGGGAGTGTGGCTCTCCTGATGCCCTTGTTGAGAGGAGGCTTTCCCCACTGCATCTCATCTGCTTTTACAGCGGCTTCGGAGCCCAAGAGGTTGGTGCCCTGTGAAGCTAAAACCACATGAAGTCACTTAGCACCTGTAAGGAACCACAGTGCATGTAAATTACAGTTTCACTGACACCCACCTACACACACACACACACACACACACACACACACACACACACACACACGGGTCCCCTAAAAGATTGGCTCCAAACAATGAAGTTTGGTTTAACAGTTATTTAGAAATCATTTAAAGTGACCCTGGGCTATACTGTATACTTGTTGGAAAGATTAGCAGTTAAAACTTCATGACCACTATTAAAATGTGGGTTTCCTTTGTGTTTAGGCATTTTTTCCTCCAGTGTTGGATATCCAGGACAGCAGTACTACTTTAATAATGCAGGTAAGTTTTTGTCATTTAATACTGTCTTACTGGTTTAAAAAAAAAAGAAAACTACAGAATTTAGGAGAATGGAGACGCTTAGTTTTGGATGTGGAATAACTCACATGGCACCCAGGAAACCAAATGGGTGGGAGTAAACCAGGATGCATCCGGTAGGCTGTTAGGGAAGATGGTAACTCAGGCATGAAGCAATCATCTAATTGGTGTAAAGTCTCTCGTGTACAATAAGGTATGTATTATCCCCAAGACACGAAGACTCCCACTAGCAGAGTGTTTGCATTGGTCACAGGGATACAATTCCACACTGTCTATCCCATCTGCACATCCAGCAAGGCTCTCGCTTGCCCTACTAATATGTTAAGGGTCCTACACCAGCACATAGCATCATATTGCCAGAGACAAAAAACATACATGATTTTTCATGTGTCCTGTAAAGCTAGTAAGATGGGATGATGATGCATCCTGATAACTAAGGTGGTGGTCCTATCTCAGTCACTATCAGATTGCTAACCTCTTAACACCATTATCCTATACAATTGAAGGTTCAACTCCTGCATGAGAGGAGATCACAGGTATTTAGGACGTTTGGGTGGATGGAGCAGTAATAGGTGCTGGATGTCTTAATGCAATAGACGTGATTCCCCTTAGATGCTTATATTGAAACCCTAGCCTCATCATGACAGTAGAAGTGGCGCCTTTGGTATGAAATCAGGTCACCATAATGTAATACCCTTGATAATGCCCACATAAGAAGGACTCTAAGGACCTCCTACTCTCTTGCTGTTAGAGGATACAGTTGGAGCAATCAGCAACCTAGAAGAGAAAACTCAACAGAATTGGAGCTGACATCATAACTTGGACTAGTACAGCTTGTATCCGCAGCATACACTTTATAGTCATATCGGTTAACAATGGCCAAAGATTAGATTTGTGCCTGGCAGCATTTTGTATGAAGCTCCAAACAGCTAATGTTTTAGACACTAAAGGTTTTATTGCCCATTTGGCTCTGATCTAACTAGCTGTCCGTTCCTTATATCATTAGAGGAGGCACTGACAATTCATAAACAGTTGGACAATGACTGTGTGCCCAAAAATCTTATGAAAATAAACTGTGTGTCGGATCCAAACCATAGGTTTTGATTTTGTTCATTTTGTTTTGTTTTGAATCCTGGCTTATTTGGGCCTTTAACAGTTAACAATGAATTGTTGTTAATAAATATCTTCTAGTTGATCTTGTTGTAAGTCTGAATTAATTGACAGCTGCCTAAAAGATCAATAAAGGGCACATCTTGGCATATCTGTGAGGTAATTTTCATAGTCAATTAACTGACGGGACATGACCTTCTTTGAATGTGGGTGATAACATCCAGTAAGCCAAAGAGCCCCTGAAGTAAAAGAGGAAGAAGAATGAAGCCCACCTACTAGGTCTCTCTCTGTCTCTCTCTGTCTGTCTCTGTCTGTCTCTATGCATTTTGGTGTCACTGCTTCCCTTCGATGATGACTGCGCCTTCCCACAGTCCCACAGCAATAGGGACAGGCAGATGTGGCCGGAAACCATGAGTCAGGATGACTCATCTATCCTATTAAGGTGCTCCTGGGTATTTGCTACAGTGATGAGAAAACTAACACTGTGTGCATGCAGTGTATACCTACATACACATATGCACATGTATGTATATATTGTTTGGGGTTTGTTTTCCCATACAGCCAGAAAAAGGTTTTTTGTTTGTTTGTTTGGTGGTTTTTTGTTTTGTTTTGTTTGTTGTTGTTGTTTTTTTGGTGCAGGGAGGCACTTTCATGACAGGGTTTCTCTATGTAGCTTTGGAGCCTGTCCTAGAACTCTCTCTGTAGACCAGGTTGGCCTTGAACTCACAGAATCCACCTGCCTCTGCCTCTGCCTCCTGAATACTGGGTTTTGTCACCAGCGCCCAGACTCCATGCAACTTTATCAAGTCACAGACTGTTATCCAGCAGTACTGTGTGCAGATCACAATGCAGAGTGCTGTTATGGGCACTGTAAGAGAACAAAGTGCGGTCCCTCTCTTAGAGTTTATAGTGGAGGCATGGATATATAGGCATGGGTATTCAGAGGTGGGTACACAGGGGTGGGTATATAGGAATGGGTGTAGATGTTCAGAGGTTGGTATATAGGTATAGGTGTTTAGAGGTGTGTGTATATAGATACAGGTGTTTAGAGGTGTGCATATAGGGGTAGGTGTTCAGAGGCTGGTATATAGGTATAGGTGTTTAGAGGTGTGTGTATATAGATACAGGTATTTAGAGGTGTACATATAGGGGTAGGTGTTTAGAGGTGTGGGTGATTAGACGTGGGTATATAGGGGTGGGTATATTTGAGAAAATGAAATAAAAGAACCTGTGACACTAATTAGATGATAATAAAAGCTAAGCTCTGATGTCATGTAGATGGATAACTAGTAATCATAGCATTTGTTGAATTTGTCCCTATCCCTGCTGGTCAGGTCCCACCTGCAGCTGTCTCCTGGAAGATTTGCACACTCAGGGAACACACTCTGCCCTGTTCTCACTGCATCACAGCCTGAGGAGTGCCTTTATTATCCTGTATCACCTATTACACAATGTCTCAGAATGGCGTTCTCCACTCTGCCACTAGATTTCCAAATAAGAGCCCATTCATCCTCTTCTGTTCCTTCTAATCAGAAGTCCAGACAGGAGTATGATTGACATGGAGGCGGGATCACTGCTCTGGGAAGGAGGAACAGAGTTGCTATACATGAGGCTGACCAGAGGAGGTGGTCAGGAAAACCATCATGGTTCTACCTCCCATTGTGGTGCCCCTCATCTTGTTGACTTGTACTCTCCAAGAGGCAGAGGACAAGGCAACTAACAATTTGAAATCGATAGAGGGAAAGGGGCTTCTCTAATAGCTCCCTTTTGTAAATCTCTACGAGAAATAACAGTGGAGTCTGGGAAAAGAGTTCTGTCAGGAGAAGTTCTCGCTGCACAAGTGTAAGGACCTGAGCTTGGTCCCCAGAGCCCGAGTTTAAAAATTAAGTAAATAACAGGCACAGTGGTGTATACCTGTAACCCCAGCACCAAGGAGGCACAAACCGGTGGATCCTGAGGGCTCTCTGACCAGCCAGCCTAGCCTGCATAGCAAACCCCAGACCACTGGGACACTGTGCCCAAAACATAGCACCATGAGGGGGAATGACACCTGAGGTTATCCTCTGGTCTCCACATGTGTGTACCCGCACACGCGCACACACACACACACACACACACACACACACACACACACACACCACGCCAGCAGCCTTCTGAGTAAAAGAACTAGCTCTACCACACTTAGACACAGACATGGTTTGTCATGGACTTCCTGGTCCTGATAGCTGGAAAATGAGCTTAAGAAGGCTGAGTAATTTGGTCACATTTGCACAGGTATGGAAGGGCAAGTCTGGGACAAGGATGTGAGTCAGTGAATCATTGCCCCTGCTTTGTCAGTTGTCTGGGGACTTGAGATTCCCAAGCACTCTTGACAACTGAACTTCGGGAAACAAAGTAACCCTATTCCCCCTCCCTCCCTCTGTCCCTCCCTCCCTCCCTTCCTCCATCCCTCCCTCCGTTCCTCCCTCCCTTCCTCTCTCCCTTCCCCCCTCCCTCCCACCCTATCCTTGCCACATTTACTTACATTTTCTGAAACAGAGAAGGAAAGCCTCTCCTTTGCCCCCTCCTTCCTTCATCTGTGAGAGGCGTTGGTACAGCAGACACAGGCTGGAGAATTCAAGAAAGAAATCCAAACTTCTTTGTTAACCTTCCTTTTTGATGTTCTGTAAGATTAACATATTTATAGTCCTTCCTCTGGAGTGATTGGATTTCTTCAAAGACAGAGGGTCCAGGTGGCCAGGCTAATGGTCATTTAAACCACTTTGATGCAAGTATACGTATCTCTTGCAAGTAGTGATTTATTCTTAACACGGCTACCTTCAGCTGGGAAGCTCCTTAGAAGTCAAAGAATCTAATGGACGTTTAAAAGCTGTTACCGATTTTTCTAATCTGTGTCGTTTTTCTTGATCTCTTTGCTATGAAATCCTGGAATGTGTATGAGGACCAGATGGAACAGTTAGCAAAGTAATGATAGCCAGAATCTTTTTTTTTTCTTTTAACTACAAAGCCAAAGTATGTAACTTAAAAAGTATTTATCACAAGACATAATTTAAACTTATTTATCCTAAGTATTGGTTGTTAGATTCCTCTGCACTTATTTATTATTATTATTATTAAAACATCTGATTGGGCCGTTAGAAGAACAGCTGTTGAAAAGTTTTATTTCTCAAGGACCCATTATCATAATAGATATTGATGGCATTTCTGGTCTTGCTAGTGACTTAAGATTAATGATACAGAACCTTTGACCCACACCAGTCCTCTCAACATAAGGCACCAAGGTTTTCCTGATTCATGTCTCCGTGTTTTGTCTGACAAGTCTCAAGTTAAGATGTTATAATGTCCATATGATCAGAGCTGTTGACTTTATTTCGTCAAAATATTGCTTTGTTTTTAACAAAGAAATAACATGGAGAAAAAAATGTTTTTCTACATGGAAGAAATGCTACCTAGAATCACTGCAGTTAACATCTGTGCAACTAAGACTCTGAAGGCACATGTAGTGTCTACATAGGCCAAGGCTGCGGAGTCTCAGGTCTTTGGGTTTCCAAGTGGCTGAGTGCAGTGGGGTGGCTTAGGTAGGATTTCTCCTCAGTTCTTCTACAGCACAGACATTTTTAATGATGATAATGAGCCATGTGGGAAAATAGCCCAATATGTTTTTTTTGCCTTGCAATAAAATAATTAGCATTCTCAGAGACTTTGGGACTATTGAAGTATTCTGCTGTATTCAGTGACTTACCCATAAATGTTCTATTAGTGTTGTCAAGTGGCTACACCTTTCATTTAGGTTCTGTGAAGTGAGTTTGTTGATTTTGGCTTGACTACTGTTGTTCTCTGTAGTGCTTGGTGTTTGGTGAAGAGTATAGAAAAAGCAAGATCCATAATTCTATCACATTCTCCCTTCTTCTTTAGGTAGGAAGCATGCTAAGAGTGTCCCTAACACATCAGGGGACCTGTGCTTTTCTAATGACTCCATTGAGTAAAGAAGAGAGCATCTATCTTTACAATTGTGTTCTGTCCCCAAGTTGGTCATAAACCACTGGGGGGATCTAGAAATTTTTACTGTTCTTCTCCTGTTTTGAAAATCATTAATGTTATTATTCTGAGGTAGAAGAGAGAATATAGAAATGGACCCTATTGAAAGCATTCAGTTAATACCCAGTGGTATTTACTGCATTGCTAGCAAAACCTTCATAATTACCCACCAAATTCTAGGAAGTTTCACTTAAGGCCTCTTTCATTTTTGTTTATTGTGTTAAGGAAATTCAACAAAAAAAGAACCAAGCCAGTAGAATACTACAATCATCAGTTAAAAGAGTGAAGTATTTACATAGACATTTTCTAAAGAAGACATGCAAATGGCTGATCAATCCATAAAAAGTTGCTCAACACCATTGATCATTAAACCACTCAACAGTGAAAAGGATGGGGACAGTGATACAGTCCTACACATAGGAGACAGAAAGAGTTTCACAAGTTCAAGGCCAACCTGTGCTACATAGTGAGTTCAGGGCCAGCCTCTGTAATATGTTGAGACCCAGTTGCAGAAACAGAATAGTTTATATTAGTCAGAACCTGCAAAATGAATCTCTCTCTCTCTCTCTCTCTCTACATATATATATATATATATATATATATATATATATATATATATATATGGAATTTATTAGAATGGCTTACAAGCTGTTGTCTAGCTAGTCCAACAAGTGGCTGCCTATGAATGGAAGGCCCAAGAATCTGCTAGTCATTTAGTCTACATGGCGGATATCTTAAGTGGTCTTCAGTAGATACCAGAATCCTGAAAAAGTGGGTTCTAATGCCAGTGAAGGAATAGACTTGTCATGCAGAGCAAGAGCAAACAGGCAAAGGAGAAGCTCCATTTTTCCATACCCTTGTACAGCAGGTAGCAGAAGTTGTGGTCCAGATTAATGGTTTGTCTTCCCACCTCAAAGATCCAGATTAGAAGTTGAATTTTTTTTCACTTCAGATGATTTAATTAAGAATATATCCCTCACAGATGTGCCCAGTCATTTGAGTTTTAGTTAATTCCAATTGTACTCAAGTTGACCACGAAGAATAGCCATCACAAGGATATGACTAGCTAAATTGAAAAAGATATGTAATAACAAGGGTTGGTTACAGATGTACTGGAGCCAGAATTCTCACGCACTGCTTGTAGCACTATAAAGTGGTGTGTTCACTTTGAAAACATTGTGGAGGTTCCTAAAAGATTTAAACAAAACTATAGTCAGACGAGCAGTTACACTCTTAGATACACACTCAACGGAAAACACACATGTGAGTTCACATGTGTGTTTGCCCACAGATGTTTAGAGCTGCATTATTCAAAATATTTGAAAGACAGATGTAGGGCTGGGGTGGGCAGCTACATGGATAAACTGCTTGCTACACAAGCCTAAGAGCCCGAGTTTGGATCCCCGGTATCCAAATAAAAGCCAGGTAAATGATATTCACATGTGACCTTGATGCCTGGGGGTGGAAACAGGTGGATCCTAAGGAGTCTTTGGTCAGCCAGTCTAGCAAAACTGACAAGCTCCGGGTTCAATGAGAGACCTTACCCATCTCAAAACAATAACAAAAATTATAGCAACACCAATAAATAAATAAATAGATAGATAAATGAATAAAATGGGTAGTGATTGAGGGAAACACCCAAAGCCAACCTCTGACCTCCACGTGTGCTTCCAATGCACATGCGTACATACACCCAAAGGTAGACGTCAGTGCCCATCAGCTGTTGTATAGATAAACTGTAGCTCAGCTATCTATAAAGATATTATTTGGCTATAAGAAGGAATGAAATGCTGGCACGTGTCACAATAGCCAGGAACCTTGAGAATGTACTGTGTAAAGTTTATCAGACATAATACAACATGCACTATGTGCCTCTATTTATATGATTTGTGCAAAATAGACATTTCTATAGAGAGAAAAAGTGGATTACTTATTACTTAGGTCTGGGAAGGATATGAAACTGAGGGGTGTTAACTAAAGGGTACATATTTATTTGAAGTAATTACGAAAATATTTACATTTGTGGTGATAATGATACAACTCCATGCATTTACTGAAGAATTAAATTGTAAGTTTTACACCAATAACTTGTTAATGTTTTTTCTGTTCATATAACCAAACTGAAAGTAGGTAACTCATAAAGAATAGAGTTTATTTATGCCATATGTCTGGAGTCTGGGACATCAAACATGTGCTAGGGTCTGGTCAGAACTTCCTGCTACGTCATAGATGGTGGAGGACATCACACGGAGACAGAACAAGTGAGTTCAGGACTCAGTCTCTCCTCTCAGATAGCCGCTGGCAGCATCCTGGGAGTCAGGTCCTAATGTCTAACGTGTGTTGCTTTGGTCCTAATGTCTAACGTGTGTTGCTTTGTGAAGGTTCCTCCTCCACGTACTAGTGACATATGACACAGATACAGGTGTGAACGCAAGGCAGTTGTTGGGTCACCAATCAAAGCTGGCAAGTTTTATTGTGATTTTATTATTTAATGAAAATAAGGATTCTAAATTGCTGACCATTTTTGCTAGTTATGAAAATTTCCATTTCAATCTTGGATGTAGAGAGCAAGGAGATGAGGGTGGATAAGGCCAGCTAAAACTAAGCACATACGAAAATGCTATAAGGAAGCCTATGTATGGTAATTAAAACCAAATTAAAATTTTGCCAAAAAATCATACATATACAAGTGTTTTTAATAACACAAAGTTCAAACATAAATCTCAGAATAGATAGAGTTCCGGTGATCACATTTCTGAATGTGAAATTTCAACCACGTTCTTCTGTGATTTTTCTGCGTGTTACCAAAGGTAGTGCTTGCTCGTGTGCTGTGTAGGTTGATATAGAGACACATGATACTGTAGCTTACAGTTTCATTAACATCCAAGTGTATTAATTAAGACTTGAAACATCTCCTTCAAAGACTATGATAACAACAGGATAGAGGGGGTCATGGAACAGAAGATAACTCTTCTCATCATGCCAGACTGCTATCTATAAGGAGCCCCTTCAAACTAATTCTATAATCACTGACACTTTAAGAAAACACAAGGATGGGACCCTAACTGACAAAAGTTCAAAAGAATCATTTTGCAAAAGCAAACTTGGTTCCACTGCTGTGTTTTATTAATTGGTGTCTCCTGAGTATGTAAAGTATTATTTAATAAGCATGTTATCTCTTGTTCTGTTGAGTACCGATTGTTTTGAAAGCGCTATTAATTGGAAGTGCAGTACCTGATGACGAGAAATTGGCTTATCCATCTCAATCTTGTTACTAGCTTTTGAAATAGAATACTCAGCATGGGCACTGTGGTATATATATGAAACATTGGTTGTCTCTGGTTGGGTGGAGTCACAAGACAGTAAAACTTCCTCAGCTACTTCCCACCATTCTCCCACACAGGAAATACTCCAGGGGCCGTGGGGGGCGGGGAAGCAGCTCTAAGCTGACATATATGCACCATAGAGCCCACTCCAGTCTCTTCTAGCTGCCTTCTAAGTCATTGTTTCCCTTCCCCTTTAGCATGTCACATCTCATTCATGTCCAGGTCTGTGTTGTGTGCTGTGGCTGCAACAGTGACAGGATCATCACAAGATTATTATTACAATCAAAACAGTGACGTGAATTATTTATTTGTCTTTGCGTATACAAAGCCAGAATTCTGAAGCAAAAGCCAATCCCATCACTGTAACCTTTTGATTGTTCCCACAGGCCCCTCTGGCTATCAGAATCACTACCCAGATGGCAGACCAGGGGCCTATGAAGACACTCATAGGAACTATGATGTCTACACAGCAGGACTGAGCGAGGAGCAGCAGCTGGAAAGAGCATTAAGAGCCAGCCTCTGGGACCGAGGTAAGAGCCTTGCACCCTTCAATGATTTTAAAACCAGCCTTGTGGCAAGGAGGTCTGAAAAAGGACTATTTGGAGCAAATTAAGCCTTGAGTAGCTTATAAAGAAACAAAAAAAAAAAAGGGTTAATAGGTGAAAAACCTGTGCGGATTGTGATCTCAAAGAATGGGATGTGATGCCGTTGTCCCACAGTCTAAGCTCCCGAGGTGCCAGACTGGATGCATTGTTAAGTGTTCTTTTTATAGGCCTGCTGTGCTTTGTACTTTAACATTGAAGTCAAGAAACTTAAAAAAAAGTCTTAAGTACATGAGAAAGGTTAACTTTGGAATTCATGACTGTAAAGTGGCTCTCTATCACCATATATTGAAGCCTTGGCCATGAACCTCCCCACAGATTGTCCTTGGAATCAAATGAACTCAGGTTTCCATCTCTCCAGGGGCAGAGCCTTGGATTTTGTAGTTTTAACATGTTTTCCAGAAGATTCTTTCACAGACTGATATCTAAGAATCAACATATCTACTTTGCTCTCTGTGCTCTGGGCTTGGCTTAGGAAGTTGGGTTATAGGTATCTTCATTATTGCCCTAGTGTAAGTTACTAAGAAGCAGCCACTTACTCAGTAGCATGTATCCAGGTCTTCTGATACATTGCAGAGGGTACTGTGCAGGTACAGAATGAACATAGAGGTAGATGGGACACCACCTCCTGCTTGAGTAATTATAACATCAAGGATCTGCCGTGAAAAGCTTCTCAATATCTTATGAAGTGTATTTATGCTACAAACTACGCTGCACGTGTAGCCATAATTTCAAGTACCCAGAGAAGGCTCAATGGGTGCTAGGGGGGGAGGATTAGGGAATGTGTTTAGAGCATCACAAAGGCAGAGGCAGTGGGGTGCCAGGAATTTGTAGAATTTGCAGAGATGTCAAAGACCTTCTTCAGAGATACTTGCAAACAGAAAACTAAGGGGCATGATCGGGCCAGCCCTCCCTTCTGAACTGAACACTGAGAAGCTGGGCTGGGGCTGAAGTCCTATGGTTCAGCAGCCTCAGTGAAATGGAGCTGTGGTGATTGATCAGTCGTCAACCTGAGGAGATTTGAAATCTCCATGGGACCTCTGTCTGTCTATGAAGGTATTACCAGGAAATGTTAAACATCCCATGGACCAAGTTCCTGGGCTGAATAAATGGAGAAAGCAGGTTCAACTCCAGAATCCCTCTTTTGAAACAGGGTCTCATGTAGCCCAAGTTGGCCCTGAGCTCCTGATCCTTCTCCAACAAAGGCTTGTACCACCCACCGTTCGTGACCATGCATTATCTAAAACACAGTTATGAAAACAACTCGGAGAATACCACTGTGTTGGACAGCAAGAGAAATAACTTAAAATCTTCTATACCGATTTTAAATATTTTTTAATGATTCATTATCTCACTTGTAAAACATTTCTGGGAAGTAAAATTATTTTGTTTTTCAAAGTTTGTTGTTGCTTTTCCTGCCAGACACTAATAAGATCAGCCTGGTGAGAAGACTCTGGGATTATTTTGAAGCCAAGGGTTTTGTTTCTGTATCTGTATAAAGCAGTCATTTGGTTTAGGTAGATATGACCTACACTTTGAGTACAGGCATCTTTGTGGTGTGTCTCCCAGTGTGAGGCTGACGCAGGCACTCCCCCTACCCAGCCACTCTCATCAACTCACCCCTGTTTCTCCATTCACTAGAAGCTCCCCCCTCCTTTCCCCATTCACTAGCAACTGTATCTTAGGAATTTAAAGTTTTTTTCTTCTTTCCATTCTCAGAAAATCACAGTAGCACCTGGTATTTGACCTTGGTCCTTCAAAGGGTCCCTCTAGATCCAAGAACCCTGTGATCTTGTTTGACATGCTTTGTAACAGTCAGCACATTCTAGGACACCAGTGAAATACATTGTTAGAAGATTGCTCTTTGAAAATCAAGTTGCTTAGGGGGAAGATTCAGGTTTAAGCATGAACACACAGTATACTCAATTCTAAACTAATAGAATGAAATACAAAAAATAAGTATTCAAGAAAGTAAGTATAAACAATAATATAGGGAATGGTTATTTTTAGGTATCATCTTTTCTAAAGAGAAAAGCAATGAAAAAATACAGAAGAGCAATAGATATTCACTCAAAACATTGGACAGAGAATGTTATTAGCATATAAAGTACTCATGTAACACAGTAATTAACACCAACCCGTATAAATAAAAAAGAAGACATTTTAGACATATAATTTAAAAAAAAATAAGTAATGTGTATGAGATACAATAGTGCTGTATATTAGCACCCAAATTTAATGGTGATTATAGCACAGTTTCTACGTACTACTGATGACAGCGTCAGTTGTCTGACTTCTGGAAGGCATGTCGGAAAGGGTCAAGTGGGAGTCTTGTGCTCACTTATTTCCTAAAGAGGAGTCTGTCTTTCTGAAGAGATAATAATCCAAAACTTTAATATCTACTAGTTATGAAATAATTTAGTAATTTATATCAAGGTTGAGTAGATTGAAATTTGTATGATAGTCTGAATGAAGACTAAATCATTTATAGTTTTCTTGTACCGTGGGAACATTATATACACGTTAAAAGCAACACTATTGAAAAGTGTAGTGGTAAAAAGTATGATTATGATAGTATTAAATGAGATAAGAAGGGTACAAAACCTTATGTACCATATGATCAGCATTTTATGTGATAAAAAAAACCAAGAATTTTCCCTTAGGAAAAAAATTTAAAAATAATTTTAAAAGCCCTTTTAAAATATCTCCCATGTATCTTAATAAAACAGTGATAAAGTATTTTAAGGAAAACAAAATTGAAATTAATGTAAGCCGTCTATCAGAGCAGAATTTTTGCTGTTATCTGTTACTGCTTCAGGAAGTCTCCTTGGATCGGTTTTCTGGAAATTAGTTCCATATGCTATTTAGAACATTCATTGAAAGGAAAATCCTGTGGTCAAGCAAGTTTGGAGAGAATTAGTTTAATAAATTAGTTCCTTTAGAGCAGAACTAATTAAAATCATTAGTATACCATTGCCACGGTGGCTCTCTATCAGAATGTAGCTTGCTGTTTTATCAGCCTTGTGGGAGTATAGACTTTGTGGGTGAGTATATTTGGGCTAGAGAGAAGGAAGATAGGTGCATTGTCTTGACTGAGGCCTGTAACAGTGTTTTGCACACATCATGTTTCTCTACTTCCCAGTGTTGTGGTGTCTCCCAAGAACATAGGACATCCTGCTACTTACACACAACATCCTAGAAAATAACCGATTTCCCAATACCAAACATGTAATCACCAATTTTTTTTTAAAAAAGTTGTGTGTGTGTGTGTGTAGGTGTGTAGGTGTGTAGGTCAGAAGGCAGCTTGTAGCAGTGGGCTCTGGCTCTGTCTACCAGGTTTGAGTGATAGACCTTGTACACATTGAGCCTTTTTACTAGCCCTGTAGCCAATTTTTAAGGTTCCAATGTTGTATTTGATTGTTTCTTTTTTTTGTATAAAAACTGCACCCTATTTTTCCTATATTTTTTCTAGAGACTGTATTATGGTTTTTATTACTGTGTTAATAAACAGAAGCAACTTGGGGACAAGTGGGTTTCTTTCAACTTACAATCATAGTCCTTTGACAAAGAATGTCATGGCAGGACCTTGGAGGTGTGTGAAGCAGAGGATGGAGGAGTGCTGCTTCCTGGCTTGCTCCTCGTGGCTTACTTAGAGAACCCAGGACAAGCAGCCCACAATGAGCTGGGCCCTCCCACATCAATCAAGAAAATGCCCCACAGGCTTTCCTCTAGGCCAGTCGGGTGGGGGTATTTCCTTAATTGAGGTTCCCTCTTCCTAAATAACTCTAACTTATATCAAATTGACATAAAACCAGCCAGGACAATTGACACTTTGTCAACTCGACACACAAACATCTGTCCCAAAGACTGGGCATATTAATATTAATATCACATTAAAAAACACTGTAACTGCCGGGCAGTGGTGGCGCACGCCTTTAATCCCAGCACTCGGGATGCAGAGGCAGGCGGATCTCTATGAGTTCGAGGCTGGGCTGGACCAACAGCCTCGAAAACAATACAGAAGAAACCCTGTCTCGTAAAAACCAAAAAAAAAAAAAAAAAAACTATAACTTTCAAAAAACCCCCCTGGTCTTAAAAAAAATCAAATAATTAAAATGTTCAGCCTCTTGAAAATATCCAAAGTGCCTTTCACAGTTTCTCTAAAATATCCAAAGTCTCTATAAAATTACAGATTCTCTCAACTGTGGGTACCTGTAAAATAAAAGGTAGGTTGTATAATTTCTTTCTCCAAGGGAAGAACCAGGTCACAGTCGGGGACCTGCTCATAAAGGGCTCTACTGCCCCAGCACTGCCCTTTGTCTCGCAGAATCAGACTGGCTTCACGCCACAGCTGCTGCTCTCCATGGTGGCTGTCCATAGTACCAGCATCTAAGTCTCCTCTACCAATAGTGCCTCCTGGGTTCTCTTCAAGATCTCTGTCCTTGTCACTTGTTGCCAGGCCTCAACTACTGTTCAAGGCCCTTTCAATCCTGGAGTTTCTGCTACAACTGAGACCGCACCTTTAACCAATGACTTCTCATGGCCTCTCTTAGTGCCAAGTCTTAGCTGCTTTCCATAACCCCTTCAATCCTGCAGCTTCTTGCCACCAAAATCAGTTACGTGTTGGTGATCCTTACACATGACCAGATTTGACTATCACCCTGACATGTAGCCTTGGCCCCCTCTGGACCACAGCTTCTGTGTGCTGCTCCTGGGAAACACTTTGCAGAAGATTTTGTTCCGATGATGCTGGTCTCTTCGGAATCACAGCTGATTCCATAGCCACAGATGAGCAGTGTTGATTGTTCCAGCAAAGCAGAGGTTTCACTTTAGTGGCTTTTGATCTCTTACTACTCACAGTTGATTCTTCAGCCCCAGATGACCAGAACCACGGATTCTTACTTCAAAATATTGAACGATCCCAATAG